TCTGTAAGGACATTCAGGCAATGGAACAGGTTGTGCAGGGGCAATGTGCTGTCTCCATCCTTGGAAATTTTCAAAACCCAGCTGGACAAAGCTCTGAAGAACCTCAACTGACCTCAAAGCTGACCTTTCTTTGAGCAGGGCTTTGGACTAGAGGCCTGCTGAAGTCCCCTTCTAGTCTGAATTACTCTAGGGTTCTGCATTCAATCTAATAAGGCCAGATATGTAAGAATTTTTCCACTGCTTTGAGAAGCAAAAGTGATCTGACTGTACAAAAGACTACTAGTGATTTAGAGAAAGTAATTTTTATCTCCTACATTCTGTGTCTTTCCCCCTGAAAGCTAAGTAGTGTGTTAGGAATAATTTCTCTCAAGTCCCTGGAAGTGAGTAGCAGAAGCCCTGAAGGACAGTTGAGATAGTGAATAAACATGATATTTTTACAGTCATTTATGACAAAGTTGCATTTCCTCTTGTTAGTGTTAACACACTTTTACCTCAGGTTTTCAAGCAGATGAAAGTTCTTGCTTTTTGACTGGTACTAAACTTCATCTAGTAGTTTTCCTTTTGTTTATTGAATAGTACAATAAACCATTAGTTTTATGTTTATTGCACCTACAGCATTGCTGTCCAGTATACAATAAATACATCATTTCCATCATAGAAGTACCAAAAAAAATTCAATATGTGCAGAAATTTCCTTGTATATAGTTTTATGTAGTGATATCAATGTGATCACCATCAACATGGAGAGGGATTTTATTACTTAGGTATTCTAAAGCCTATGGCCTAATGATCTGGTTAACTTCTCAGAGACTTGCTTACATCTTAAAAGGTTTTATTGGGAATTTTTATGTACCATTTTTCAGTTTAATAATTCTGTAATGTTAATCTAAGATTTTGCCAACAAGATCTAGCAGAAGCAAGAAAGCAAAAGGTATTTGAAAAATAGACTTACCTCAAATCTACTTTTTTACATTTACATTGTGTAAAATTAGGTCCATAATTTGTATAAATTTAGATGATGTAATAAAATGGAAATTTTAATATTTATGTCAGAGAGTATAATTACATTTTTTGTTGTTCTTTTTATTGTCTGGCATTTCCATTCCTCAATTTCTATTTCCTCTCTTTTCAGGAGCTTGATTCTGAATACTCCGTGTTTCAGGTAAATTTCTATTCATGCATATAAATATTAGATACAATCATTAGGAAGAATTTCTCATACACTGAATAATACTTGTTTTGTTGTTAAGTCCTTAATGACATAAATTCTTTTTAATTCATTCATAAGGCAGTACATTTGATAAAGAGTATTGTAAATGGGCAACTTTTATGTTTAATATAAATTTGTTTCTCTGTTTTATTTCCTTTAGGTTTATTCAGCAGCTAAGTAGCTTAGTGCCTTCTAAAAGCTAAATTGAATCTACCTTGAATTTAATCACCCTCATCTGCTGATGAGATTAGGGAAAAGCCAAAGTGTATTTCACAGAGAGAACAATGTTTATGCTCTTGGCGCTCACTTCCATGGTTCATTTAATGCGGTGTCATGGTGGGCTGTACCCGTCCTGCTCCTACAGCTCATTCTCACTGCCTACCTTGAGTAGAGTCTGGTAGTCTAGAAGCTACATGATGGTGCTTTGCATAAGAGATGGAAGACCGAGTAATTGATTTGTTTTCACTCTGTCCACATTAGCCCTAGATTACTGCAGTGGGAAGAATAGCAACGTGCAGTTGGTGGCATCTTTTGGCTGCAGGCCGCAGTTGGAAGAGATTAAATGCAATGTGAAATTGCATCTTTAAATACAGCTCAAAATATATTTTTAAAGTCTCTGATTGCATTCCAATGAAGTCATGCAAGTTGTTGGCATACAAAATGGCTTCAGTGAAATACTGCCAGGTATCTTTGTGACTGTATGCTTCACAAGTTAGTTGTTGTGTTACTGGGTTTTTGCTGTGTATGGAGTAAAATGGATGATAATGGAATGAATTGTTGTAGAATTAAACCTCTTAAGAAATATGTGTTACCAGATTCAGAAAATACATTTAGATTTACATTTGAAGTTTTTATTTGGTTAGTTTGGTTTTTGGACTTTTCAGGAATGAGAGGAAGGTACTTAATTCAGTGACAAACCAGTTCTCAGGAGCAAAGTGAAAAATATTTTGTCACTTTTCTTCCTGGAGTTTAAGCCTCTTAAGAAATATATCACATTTCTGTACTTATGGTACTTAGGATATTGTTTCCCTCTGCAATTACTCTTTCTATCAAGTTCTGTTCTGATTATGAGTTAAGCAAGCCAAATCTGTTATGTTGGTAATACGTGAGTAATATGTCATCTGAAATGAGCTGTCCCTTTCTTGTTCTTACTGTTTCTGTTCCCGTTCGGTAAGAATACAAGTCATAAGAATACAGGCATATTGCTTGTCAGAAAACAGAATTATTAAGCCTGCATAGAGAGAGAGCTGATAATATAAATGGAATGGGAGGCAACCGTTTGAGTGGGCAAACTTGTGCTAAATTGAGGTGTAAATATTATCATGGGATTACTCAGAAATGTGTGCACTTATTTTTATGGATTTTTGTGATTTTAAGTGAACCTTCCTCTCACTGTTATCAGTGTGGCTCTTCCAGTTCTATAATGAAACCCTTGCTGATTTTCATGGAGAAAAAAAACACTGCATTGTACTATAGTAAATTACTAAAACTGTAATTTTTTACTTAATTGTTAAATTTTTAATTTTATTTAATTTAATTGTTAAATAATTGTTAAATTTTTTTTCTGGATAACTAGAAACTGCAACACAGAAAGTAGGCTTCATACAAGGATAGAGTAGCTATAGGAAATACCAGGACTACTGGTATACATTTTTTGTAGAAGGTCAGCAAAAGGTGAAATCATAGAGATGTTAAGAAAATCTTTGAACCTTGCATGAGTTTTGTGTCTTGTGATAAAAGACACCCTTACTTTATGAACAAAACAAACAAACAAACAAAATTTGTTGAGGGGGGTCTGTTTTAACAGAGAAATGTACATTTCTCAGATTTTCTTTCCAAAAGTATGACAATAGCCATATTTCTTGTAAAGTCCTACATGACTTTTTATGACTAAATAGCAAATTGTTTATGAATGAAAAGGGTGTCAAATTTCATTTCATATTTTTGAAAATAAGAACTTTCTCCTACATCTTGCTTTGTATTTGTGTGTCAGTATACATTTCTAATTCCTTTTCCCACACCTTGATTTTCTACATGTGGCATAACTGTGTGTGTGCACAGAAATGATACTTGTGTTTCATATGGGTCTTGTTACTACTAATTAGGAATTTTGAATTGCCTTCTTGTCTCCCAGGGTAAAGGTCATCCTTCTGTATTTTAAGTAATGAATTTGACATTTCTGTTGCTGTTTTGATGAGAAGTCCTTTTACAAACATTGCTGCAGGCAATACTACAGACTGATATTTAAGTAGGGAATAATATGGGATATTTGATTTTTTTGTTGGCTATAAAGCCTCAGACTAGGAGCTTAAGACTGGAAGAGCAGGCTAAGAAATCTATTTTTTGTGACATGTTGCTTTTAAAAAGATATTATTTCTTGTTTGTTACTGCAAAAATCACAAGTATATTTTTTTGTCTATGTAAAGAACTGGCCCAAGTTTTTGCAATTAATGTAGAGACGTTGCTACTTTGACTTCCCAGGAAAAGGTCATTACTATGGGCAGCTTTTCATATCTCTGCTAGAAAATTAGTGTGTTTGGCTGTACTGAGAGCCCTAATTTCAGAATATTCCCAGTGTAGACATGGTTATGTTGACCTCAGACATATATGTCTTTGAAAAAGGCAGAATGCTGTCAAGGTGTTAAAAACGCAACAAACTAAATACTTACAGAATCATGAAAAACAGTTAAGGGTGTTGAACATATAACTGCAAATTTTAATGCTAATTAGAGGTTGCAACCCTACCATGTAAGAAGAAACTAAAAGATAATAAAGCAGGACCTGGATTGTGTCTTTCTGACCTAGATTTGCATTATCCCACCCTGTTTTGTTCTCACCTGAACAAAGGTTTCTAATTGTGGTTTAAGGGATTAGTTAAGTCCCTCCTTTACTTCTGCTGGAAAGAAAGCACATTTACAAATGAGAGTTAAACATTTTAACATTTTTAGATATACTTTCTTTTTTATAAACAGATATAAAGTTGCATAAAAATAAGAGAGGCAGGGACCATCTGAGACATTATGAATGAGAACTGTCCATTTAAATTATTACTCAGATGATTAAATAAGCCTGAGGTCCGGATCTTCTCTTACCTCTTATTTAAAGAACAAATGTTTCCATGTGTTTGACCTTTAGTTCTATTAAGACAGCATAATTCTGTTTTTGCTCTGAAATGTTTCTTTAGCAAGTATTTGACATGCTTTTCCACCAGACAGCTGTCCCCTGTGAGAAAAGAAACTAATCCACATTTTTTTGGCAGTGATTTTTTCTCTGGAAAATTTGTTATGATCTCTTCAATGTCTGAAGGAAGATCAGGGATTGGTCTTGTGGCTGCCTTTATCATGCCAGCTCTATGAGTACATTACAGGCATATTAAGTTATCAAAGTTGTTGTATCTTCACTTATTTTGTTGGTACTTCTGTATAGCTGCCACTGGGTTTTCTCTTCCCCATTGATTTGGTGTCTCTACATTCTTCACAAAGCTTGTCACATAGGCTAGAATTATGCTTGCCTTTCCATGTTGCTCATATATAATCCTCCGAAATATATAGTGTAGTAATTTGTCAGTTCTGTTCTCCAAACTTAGTGACTGTAGCTGTTCCACTCCAAAAGACTTGTCTGAAGTCTTGGTCCTCTTTCCACCTCCACCAGGCAACTGATGGATCTGCCTGGCTGGAAGTCAATACCTTACTCAAGCCTATTAAAACTGTGAACGGAATAATAATTTGCTGATTAAATTATTTACTTGGTGTCTTGAAAATATTTTGCTTTGTACTTTATCCTTATTCAGGCTGCCTGGAGCCTGAAAACACGAGCTTTGACAGAAATGGTCTATGTGGACGAAATCGATATGGATGAAGAAGGAATCGCAGAGATGATACTAGATGAAAATGCCATTGCTCAAGTTGCACGTAAGAATGACTTTCACTTAAATACACTGAAGCAACAAGAGCTCTTTTGGTCAGGCTTGTCATCTAGTATAAAATAGGACATACTGTGGTGACCTGATAAAGCTTTTACCTATTGCTATAAGAAGAATTTCAGCATGTTTTATGGTTACATGGCAACGTTGAGGTACACCACATGAACTTGATGTAGTGCTTAGACCTGTCAGACAGAATTTCAGACAAATGGTGTTTTGTCGTCTTTTCCTTTACATCTCTGTACTCTCTAGTTCTTTTCCATCAGTGCCCTGATTTATTTGTTTGTTTGTTTGTTTGTTTTGGTCTTCCTTACATACTGTGGGATATTAGAGAAAAATACATGCCCTCGATGTACTCTGAATCTCATCCATATTACTGTACTGTAGGCAATCGTCTAGTCAAATCTGACATCACCTTTTTGTGTCCTTTCCTGCAAGCATTTTCTGAACTGATTTTCTCTCTTGTACTTTTCTCTACTTTTTCCTCTCTTCCTTCCCAGGGCAGTTCTTCTGCCCTGTCATTTTTCCCTGTATGCAGCTCTTTTCAGCTTCATCAGTTCCCTTCTAAGTCGCCATTAATTGGTAGTCTTCCAGTACTTTTCAGCATTATTTGCATAGTTCACACACCGCTGGGAATGTGGCAGGGTGTGCTATTTTTGGCAAGAGCAAGAAGAAAGTGATACTGGTGTGAGTCGCCATGTTGGGCATGCTGGATCCATGCAGAATTCAGGTAGAGGGCTGCTACCTGATGCTGTTATACACTGAATACTGGTTTTGTTTTTGTTGAGGCAGTTCAGTAATAGCCAAAAGTTTCTTAAGAACATGCTGCATGCTTCTGGGCCCCTCAGTTCAAGAAGGACAGGGAACTGCTTGAAAGAGTCCAGCGCAGAGCTACAAAGATGATTAAGGGAGTGGAACATCTCCCTGATGAGGAAAGGCTGGGTGTCAGGGGGACGGAGTTAGGCTTTTCTCAGTGATGACCAGTGATAGGACAAGGGGTAATGGGTGTAAATTGGAGCATAGGAGGTTCAAGGTGAATATCCGGAAAAATTTTTTTACTGTGAGAGTGACAGAGCACTGGAACAGACTGCCCAGGGAGGTTGTGGAGTCTCCTTCACTGGAGACATTCAAAACCCACCTGGATGCGTTCCTATGTGATGTACTCTAGGTGACCCTGCTCTGGCAGGGGGGTTGGACTAGATGATCTTTCGAGGTCCCTTCCAACCTCTAGGATTCTATGATTCTATGATTCTATGATTTCTGGTTTTCTCTGTTTCATAAGTACAATCCACATGGGAATTTTTATGCATCTTATTAGCTGTGGTTCTCAACCTCCTACCATGTCAGGGAATTCACGGGAAGAACTGGATGTAGGACAGAACTAGTATTTGACACATTAAAAGCTTTCCTCATCCGGATAGAAGAAGGCAATTGCATATCAATTTGATTACATTTTTTAAAATTGCTATTGTGTGTTTGGTCACGTATAAACAGTAAAGTAGTACTCAAGTTGTGTTTATACATTATAGTAATCTAATTACATGTGTCTGTCTTAAAACAGCATAATAATATAATTTAGACTTTTTTTTATGCTATGCTCCCTATAGTAGAGATCATCTGCCAAGTAAAATAATGGGATTACTATTATTGAGAAATAAAGCATTCTGGAAAAATACACTCATGCTATATTTAAACTGAAAAAATGACTTTCTGGATAGTGTGTCACCAATTTCAAAGCCAAAGAAAATCATTGTGATAGTGTAGCCTGCACTCCTGAATCATTGAGATAAGACTTTGCTATTTGTACTTCATCTACTAGATGTGCCTGAAGTAGTGCATAGCTTTTCAGAAAGTATAAGAACTTTCTAGAGAGAAAGAACCCCCTGCAGTCTTTAGCAAATGTTGAATTTGCTAAATTTTATCGGTGTGTGCCATATCTTTAGTGGGAATTACCAGCTATAGCTCCAGCTGTTGCCTCCTTGTATACATTTTATGCCTGATGTGAAGGCTTCTGTTTCAAAGGTATATTTCTAAAGTAAATAGTTACAATTGTTATTATGTCATCCAGTGATCTTTTCTTTGATAACCTCAACAATCTTCTCATTCTGAGGTATATCTTTTGAGTTTAATCTTGAAACTCTCTTTTAATCCTTTCAATAAATCTGCATGCTTTTTTAGTTGTAGTTACCAAACCAGACAAGAGTCCACTGACACACAGAAAATACATTTTTCTTCTAGAACTTGATTTTACATTCTTTATCCATCTGAAGTGTTACACTTTTATGTAAAAGGTTAGCACAGATATCACTAGGAGGCTGCAGAAGGGATGGAACCAGTCTTTGCGGATGGTGCAAGTGACAGAACCAGAGGCAATGGGTGCAAGCTGAAACACAGGAGACTGTCTGAACACCGGGAAGTGTTTTACTGTGAGGGTGACTGAGCACTGGCACAGGTTGCCTGGGGAGATTGTGGAATCACTCTGCTTAGACATATTCAGAAACTGTCTAGACAGAGTCCTGAGCACCTGGCTGTATGTGGCCCTGCCTGAGCCTGGTTGGATCAGCAGACCTTCAGATGTCCCTTCCAACCTCAACCATTCTGTGATCAGTTCCACTTTTACTCATGATTTAATAAAAATGAGTGCTTGCTGACTGTGGGCTTTTTCTTTTGCTGTTGAAGAGTGTTAACCATACTTGGTCTTCAATCAGGGTCTTCTACTCTGGCAAATCTTCCAAGATATTCTCTCCCACTATAATTATAGCTTACCAACTTAAAAGTGTGTAGTTATACCTCCCATATTGCAACTGATATTGTCTGTACTTTTCTCACTAAGAAGTTCTAAATCCTTTTCCATCAGTTACATGTCAATTTCAGTTTTGCATCTGTCCTTATCTTAGTTTCCAGATTAAACTATTTTAATAGTGATTTTGTTCTCAGTCTTCCATTATTAAAAAATTACTAAATTGTATAAGGTCCACTGGAAGCAACTACTTTTCTGTGTTTCCTCTTCACTCATATATAATGAAATCTGCCTTCCAGCAGTTTTTAAATTTTTATAATTTTCCTGTGTCAATTTTCCATCAGTCTTGTTCATTAGTAAAAATGTCCTACAGCATAATTTTACAGAAAATTCCCAGGCTGTCACCTTTGGACACTTCACACCAACAATTTTATCCACTAAGGCTGCAATCATGTTTAGAAGTGTTACCTTGACAACGTACTTTTCAGAAAGTCATACTAATTGACATTATGGATAATCACAGCTATTTCATTAACTAGGGAGTTAAAGGAGTCATCTGCAGTCATCACTAACTGCTGAAATTATGCTAATAAATTCCATTGCTGTTAGTGGCCACATGCTCCTGTGTGGCCTGTTGATGCTTATTTGTAGCTAGTTTGGTTGGAATTCTCTAAGTAAGGATTGAGTTGCCTGGGGTAAGATCAAGGGAACTAAATCCTGTAAGCATTCTCCCAGTACACCAAAAGCACAAAGCAATTGGAGTTATTAAAAAGACAGGTCTAGAAAAGGAATTTTAATGTCCTACCCTTATTATCATGAGAGTTTAAAAAAAGTCTCAGAAAGTAGAAGACTAGTTCATTGTCTGCTAGTCTGAAGAGCTGAAAGCCACTTTCTCCATGTCTCAGGAGAGTGCTCCAGTTACATGTTAGAAACTCTACTAAGTGGATTGTCCACCTTTTCCATCGTGAATTAAAAATTCAAGATGCACAAGACTGTAAAGGGCAAGTAGGCAACATAGAGCTTAAAACTTAAGTTCAGCCAGCCAGAAGACAGAGAATCCTGAGGTTTCATCCTTATTTTAACATCACTTATATATTTAATTGATTTTACAAAAAATATCATGGTTAATACCTTTTTGGTATTATTTAACTTTAAATACAAGTGTAGCCAGGTGGCTACTGCCAGATGGAGTCAGAGGTGCTTGGTATCAGCATGGATTAAAAAAGCTTGAAGGTATATAGATAGAGTTAGAAGTTACTGATTTGGACAAGTCTGCTGAACTTGCTTAAACAATGGACTGTCATAGGTAGTTGAGATTGGGGGAGAAGACTGAAAAAGGGCAAACTTGGGGTTTATCTTGAGTAAAAAAGAAGGATGTCTGGTGTTATATCCCCTCAATTAGAGCAAAGAAATTTCCAGTTTGCTGTAAGACACAAGCATTTCTTAAAGTCCTCTGGACAAGGGGGTAGTTTTTCCGTGTGAAGTGAGAAATGCTCTTATTTTGTAGGACCAGGAACATCTTTGAAACTCCCTGGAACTAGCCAAGGTGGAGGCCCGAGCCCAGCTGTCAGGTATATGATTGTTTATGTTTTTTAAATGTGACAAGTTACAAATGAGCAAATTCTAAATTTAACTTCTGAAAATGAAATGCTTTATATACAAGAATTTGAATTCTCTATCCATAAATATCACTCAATATATAAGGATAATGTGCTTAACACCTTCAGGCCAGTAACTCAGTCAGGAAGACCTATTACAGGATTTGTGAGACCCAGCACACAAGGTGGACGGCCAAGTACTATGGAACAGGCTATGAAAACACCTCGAACAGCTCTCACAGCTCGGCCAATTACTAGTGCTTCTGGGAGATACATCAGGCTGGGAACGGTGAGTGGTTTGACTCTGTTGTTAGAATGGTGGCTTTCTTGGTCATGGTATCTGGTACAGTAATGTGGTAGTTGACTTAAAAGCTGCGTCTAAATTCAAGTTTGAAGGGGGTGAGCAATTTCCATTTCTTGTTTACTTTCATTTTTGTTTATTTTCATTGGTTTTAAAGTAAGGTTCTTGTTAGTTTGCTAGTTTAATCATATTAGAAAATGTACATAAATTCACAACAATTCACATAAATTCAGAAGTTCTGTCAGACATAATTTTTATTCACTGAAGGCCATGAAAGACTACGACATCATTTCACAATAAGTACCTTGAAAACTTCTCCAAGTTTTTCAATTTGCTACAAAACAGTAGCTAATATTTTAGTGTCTGTAGTTTCAGAATACACAAAAATAAACTATACTAGTTCTGTCCTGTTCTATTGGCAAAATTAATTATCTGCAACTGGCATGAATATATAGCACAGATTAACATCACATTAATGGCTACATTTTTCTTGAAGATTTTTTTTGTTTTGTATCCCAACTGCTTTCAGTCCATCTAACAGTCCAATCTACATGCTTAGGAATATTATGCAAATAGTGGATAGAGGGAAGAAGAAGGTAGTTACAGAAGGTAATTCATGCAACCTCCTGGCTCTCAGAAAATATGAAATTTAGGAAGACCCTGTACTGCACAGCAGAGCAATACATCTACAAATGCTTTGTTTGGGTATTTGTTTTTTTTGTATACTACTAATATTTTGAAAATTTGAATGAGAAGTGTAGGGGTCTTCCCACTTAAAACCTTCTTTCTCCCCTTCAGGCTTCAATGATAACAAATCCAGATGGCCCTTTCATAAATCTGTCTCGACTGAATTTATCAAAATATGCTCAAAAACCGAAACTGGCAAAGGTATGTATCTGTTTTGGTTAATGGGATATATTTGTCTTATTTTCTGGCATAATTCAAATGTAACTGAACATGGGATTGGGGATGCAAACAATGATGAGCTTTTGCTGCAGATGTAAAGTTCATAAATATAGTGTGTTACTTTTCTTTCAACAGTGGTTACTAGTTTTGAAATATGTGTGAAGAGGCTATCTTGAAAGTATAACCTAGGAAACAAAGTTTTATAGAATAAAATATTCCACTGGCAAATAATTTTGAAATATCCATATCAGAATCATGGAATCACTTGAATTTGAAAAGATTTATAGGAATCATGGAATCACTTGAACTGGTAAAGACCTTCAAGATCAAGTCCATCACCATCCCACTATCATTTGAGGGCACTTACTTGAGTCAGTTCCTTATCAAGTCTGAAAAAACTGCAGGCCATTGGTCCAGTTATGTCATTGCCAGCAATCAGCCAGTACATGTGTTATTCTAAATCCATCACGGTCTTTAAAATAGGGAGAATTTAAGAAACCTGGGGAAGGTTAAGAAACACAAGCCACATTTATATGAAACAAGGCTTAGTTCTGCTTGTTCTAATTGTGTTTGGTAACTCTGTATAATATTTAAGTAGGTAGGTTAGCTTTCAGATGAAGTAGTTGTTCTCAGCAGCAGCCTAAAGGAGGGGGAAACATGTATTTTTGACAGTTTTTACTTTAATTAGCATTTTCTGGGACAATGAAGTAGCTTTGTCTTCCTTCAGTTTCATATGAAAGAGGCTTCAGCCAAAATTTGTAAAGCAACAGTCAGAGAAACATGCATAGGCAGCAAGTGTACTTGTCAGTATTAGGAAGCTAATATATTATGACATTAACCTTTCACACAGCATGGAAGAGCTAAGCTTAAATTTGGAGCTACATAGATATATAACCTTTTTTAGAAACAAGACAGCATTAAGGCTAAAGCCAAAGCAGGAGATGAGACTGCAGACTGTTCTCTGTGTTAAGAGTAATTGATTAAAGTTTTAAAACTCTTTGAGCTGCCATCTCTCCCAAGTGCAAAAAGATGAGAAATCTTTCAACTATTAAATTCATATAAGTAGCCTGTGTATTCATGTTGGTATGTACTTTACATACTTCTTCCTTATGTGTTTGCAAAGTATACTTATCGCATCTCTTTTTAAGATAGATTATCAATCCTTTAATTGATTTTCATTGACCAGGACTTACATTGTTTTGAAATATAAAGGAATGTGGCTTCTCTCTGACTAGCATCAGCCATGTTAAAAGACTACTGCAGGAAACCCTGTAGGAGAAGGTATCACCTGATACCAGAAAGAGCCTCTGGTAAATCTCGGTTAGCAACTGGTTTATGGCATCAAACAGGAAGTTTTATTTTTGTTTTACCTTGTGGATTTTTAATGGAGTTATGAAGATAATTCTACATATTTTTATCCAAGTGACTATTAAGTCATTTAAATCCTTTTTAGGGCCAGGGCCTGTAGCTAACAGCAGTAAATTCCTTGTGCCAGCCATGCAGGAAAACACCTTTGTTAGCACTTTAGATGTACTCACTTTTACTGAATGTTGTAATGTGAATGTGTTTGAACAGGAGGAGGAAATGTTCTGCTACTTCTTTATGTTCTATTCTTTTGTTATCCAACTATTCTAATCTCCCTATAAATTGGTTTTATTTATAATTCATTACTGTCTTTTATTCATCTGTTTGGAATCTTTTCTGACCAAAAGTAGAAGACAAGTGGTTTCCTTTCCTCACCAGATATGACAACTCATTAGTAATTCTCTAGTCTCCTTAAGGAAAACAAAGAATTTTATCAAAGAAGAGTAGGCAGAAGAATAATGGAAGACCCTAGAATATTTCTGTCTTGTTCTTTATTTCTTTCCTCATGGAGCAATATTTACTTTTAGTTTTCTGTAATGAATAATAATAACTTAGAAAAGTGTTCTGTTCTTTTGGACTGACAAGGAAGTATGGCTTGCTTAGTTACATACAGAAATAAAGAAAGATGCAGTTATATTGCCATGCAATTGCTGTGGGATGGTGAGCAGTTACCACAGCACAGCTGATGCGTGTAACTACTTTAAGCTTTGGTATTATGATGATGTGTTTGAGTTTTAGAAGCACCATGTTGATAACTTTTACCATAAACAAATAAAAAAGTTTTTTCTTTACAGATCCCAAAATTCTGTAGGGTTTAGAATTTTTTTTTCCTAAGGTAAAACTTGCTCAGCTTACATTCTTAATAAACCTATGTTTAATTTCAGTAGATTTTGTACTATATAAGCACCTAACTATACATTTCAAAAGTATTTATTGGATCACTTTTTACTTTCACAGTTAAAAAGTCAAGAAAATGGTAACAGGTTTTTAAGTCTATATTCACTTTCAAATTATAGCTACCTTTTTTTTTTTTTAAGTGACCAAAGATACTAGGCAGTTCCCCTAATCAAGAATTCAAATGCTTTCCTGTAATGACAGTGTAGCACATCCATACTCATTTTTGTCTATTCAAGTCTTAATTAAATGTGTCAGCATTGCAATGCATGAATGTGATTGCTTTCACAAAGAATTAATTTCTGCCTCACATAATCATGATTCTGTATTCCTGTAAAATGATTATATCAGGTTTTATCTTAAATATGACAATGTTTTTAATATTCTTTTGACAGGCATTGTTCGAGTATATTTTTCACCATGAAAATGACGTAAAAAATGTGAGTAATTAATGTGCTCCATTTTCAGTTTTTACTAAGTATAATTCCATTACCTCTGTCAGTATTCTGTTAAACTGAGGATCCAAGTAGTGCAGAAGTGAAGCATTAAAAGTTCTGTAAGAGAGAAATACTTTCTTACTGGGGTGATAATCAGGGATGACGATTTGCAAATACCAAGTTACAGATTGCTCACTTTTTTTGAGAAGCAATATATTCTAATGCTTAAAACTAGATCTTTCATCCATCAACATTTTAAGATCCCTTTCTCTAGTCATGTAATGTTAACAGCATTTATTGGAGCCTGAGCATTACCTGAAACAGTGTGTCAGGTGGCTGAACTGCCTGAAAAGTTCAAAGTTCCTTAGGCTTGAGAGTAAGCAGTAAGTTATGGAAGACAGTCTGTTAACGGAAGAAGGTGAAAATATCTGACAAAGTAGTTAGTGATTGAATTGAACATCATTTGACATTTTACACTGCTGAGGTAATTATTTATGCATTTGGGTAAATAGAAAGGAAAGGTGAAACTGAAAAAATAAAATATCAATAGGACTTTGGACACTTTTACTAGAAAGTTAATTCCATAGTGCTGAGGAGTTTTGTTGCCTCAAGAGAAAGATTATATTGTCCATACCATTGTCTATGACATTTATTCTCAAAAACTTCTCCTAGTTATAAATTTTTTTTCTTACCCTATCCAAAATTTTTCTTCTGTGGTTCTTCATATGTTACTACACTGAATGGGTAAGGTCAAGTTTGGGTACAGATAGTTTAAACTTTGAGAAACATACAGGTTGCAAACTTTTTTGGCTGTTCACACAGGGAAATAATTAATTTATTCAATGAATAAAATGTCAAAATATTGCATTACTATGTTAGATATATGCACCCAGTTAAAATGGAATCAAAATAGCTGCTTGAAATTTGCTTGAAAGAACTGTATGTGTCAATAATGCATAGCTGACTAAAATGTTATTGAATTTTCTGCAGTACTGCTATCTGGTGTGTGGTTAGACTTGAAGTTATACTCTCCAGTTAATCAATAACATGCAAAAAATATTTTGTTGTTGTTGACATAGATCAGAACCATTTCCAAATGTACTGCTATGTGAAGCTTTTTAATCTAGTATCAAATGATTATAGTTGTACACTGTCAATTTATTGCATAGCATTCTTTCAAGAGGATTGAGTTGCAATGCACTATTAATCCAAAATGCAGTTGAAATAGTAAGTGCAAGTGTCAGAAATGTCAGAGAGACATAGCAATTAACATTTATATATCCTGACATGAAGAAAGTGCCTGGGTTTTATTCCACTAATAATTAAAATTTGTGTTGTTTGTTACTGAGAACTCAGTTCACTGAGAATAAATGGGTCACTTATTAAATGCCACACGTGCCTATGACCTGCACTTTAAGGACATGCAGCATCTCTAGGCTAGATGGTTAATTTCATATAATGCAAGAAATTTTCCAAGCACTGGAGGAAAAAAAAAAATAAGATTTTTTAACACTGTACTGCATGTGTTTTGAAATCCTTGTTGAGAATCTCGAATCACTGTCTTGCAGGAAACATTTTGCCTAGGTTTTATTATGCACCCTAACCATTTGAATAAGTATCTGTAAGCAAAGTAGTGTCAACTTAGTCACCACTGTTTGTTGTGTAATGAGGAGGAGAGCAGCATGTTTGGTTAATGGTACCATCTTGTAGGAAAAAAAAATTTGTGTTGCACTTCACAGTATGAGATGCCTTTATAATGTAATGTGTATCTCTGAAGAATAATTTTTTGTTAACTATTCAGTTTGCTGTCTCCTTTTTGCTCTCATTCCTCTTTTCTTCTGTGCTTTCCACACCATTTTCAATATAATTCTATTCTCCCAAGTGTCATCCCTTTCTTTTGAACCTCATCTGCATTTATTTTGCTTAACAAACAAAGAATATTACTTTAACTTTTGCTTTAACTTGGCTGCATCACTGTTTATTCACCTCTCCTACCAATGGCATTTTACTAATTCAATTTCTTCTCCTCGGAAATAATTTGGTCACTTAGGATGCAGCAGAGACACAGCACAAATGTTAGCTGTTTAAAAGGTGACCTGGATCTTGCTTGATCACCCATCAGAGCACTTGCTGACGTCTCTTGCATCTTTGTATTACCTGCTGCTCTATGATATTGCACATTCTTAAAAAAACCCAAAACAAACAAACAAAAAAAAACAAAAAACAACAAAAAACCAATACTTTTCTGCATTGAGATGAAAGAGCTTGAAAGGCTTGGATGCCTGGGAAGTTGGTTAACTTGTGACTATATCAACTTAAAAGCCTCTACTTACAGACTTTTTCATGGGTAGAATTGGAAGACCTGTTCCACAGTTTCACAAATAGAACTCTAAAGTCGTAGTGACAATATTCTTCCTTTGTCACTGGGCTGATCTGAAACAGTCTGTACTGTTCTCAACCGCATTATTATTTAAGAAGCAAAAGCTGTTTTATTATTTATCTTCTGTTTAGCATTCTGCCAGAGAATAGAAAGAAATAAAAAGCCTCAGCAGTTTCAGTTGAGAAATACCATTAATCAGTGTGCATTCAACAAGACAAATAATGCTAAGAACTCAGTTCAAATTAAAAGTAAATACATCTGTAATCTATCAATTATCAGAAATGAGGGGATGCAAGAATAAGAGAGAAGCAATGAGTTTTTTCAGCACTTGAAAATACATTCAAAAGTCTTTAATCTTATTTAATGAAAAATTAAATACTTCTCTGAAGATATTAGTATTATGCTGTCCATTATTGTTCTTTATTTATTTGCTTTTGAAGACGTATACTTAATAACTGACTTCCTGTACCCTTGAGCTATATCTAAGAGACATTTTATGGGCGAAATGCTGTAAGAGCAGGGCAGTTTAAAAGACTTGTTCACAAATAGTCCAGCTGCTCCTTTTTTCAGCAGTAGACTGGAACATCATATTGTGCTGTTATTCACAGGTGAGTAATGATGACAGGACAGTTTGTCCTGAGAAAGAACAATGAGAGCACAAAATATACTTGGGGCCAGAAGTCTTGACTTCTGATGCTTCCTTAGTTCTTCCTAATACTCTGAACTTTATACTCTGATAGGAATCTGTTTATAATGAAATTATGTTAGATTTACAAACTATAGAAATACAGAAAACACTTACCAAAATATGGCTAATGTAATTGACTCAGCTGTATTATGGACTATCCTGTGTTGATTTGTCTACAAATAAGATTTCAATAACTGTTGCTGAAGCAACAGACTCTTGCTATCATTTCCATCTATCTTAGTTTCTTGGTGCATACAATACTATGTATGAAATTACTAAGTTTCAAACAAATGGACATTTACCAATTTAATTTTGCAATTTAGCAGTAAATTACCACAGACCTACAAGATGTTTTACATGGAATTACAGCTGGTAGACAATTTGGAAGTCTTAATTATAATATAGTTTAGCTAAGGAAAGTAATGGTAGAAAAAATAATCTCAGAATCATGCTAAATACCATTGCAATTAATCTACATTATTTTTAATTTTAAAACAGCTCTGTTTTATTCTTTAAGAAAAACCTTTTTTAACAGAAAACCCATTAATTATTGGGGGTTTTATTATTAGCACAAATATAAGAACTGAGAGTAAAATAAATTTGTTCTGAAAGGCTTCCCAGGGCTAAGACTGTTATTGAAATGGATTCTTGTGTACACAAGTGCCCTCAGTACTCTAAAGAGTAACCATTTCAGCTGACCAGCATTTTCAGATGATGAGTTAAAGTTTATCAGAACTTTTGGGACAATCAGGGTGGGTTTTTTCTGATGCATATGTTAGATGCAAAAATCCTCAAAAGGACATACCATTATCTGCCAGCCCACAATCGCTGCTGGTTTCCCCTTCCAGTTATTAATATGACTGCAGCATCATCAAGCAATGCATGGGAGTGCAGGACAGGCATAACACTTAGTACTGCTATTATAGATTTAGTTTAAATTAACATGCTGTGCAGACTGAGCATCGATTTATACCTAAACTGTGCAATTAAAGTTTGTAGCAAATGGAAATTAAAACATGCTAGCAGTTGGTATTGACATGGCAAGGTGAAGGCTTTGACTTTTAAAGTCTATTTTAATCAATTTACTAACATTTCAAGGGCCATATTGTCAAAATACTTTGTTGCAATACCAGCAGGAAGTCCCTACTAGCATGCAAAAAGCTGACATTGATATGCACAAAACCTTTTCAGGTAAACACTTTTTAGAAATGTTGGTAACATTTGTCGTATTTTTGGATTTAAGCTTTTGTGATCACTTGTAAAGTATCAGAAACATAATTTTCCTGTTTCTTTCATACTTCCTGAGTGGGAAAGTATTGAAACAGGACTTAAGTTCAGAAACTAACTTAGAAATGAAGTTGTGCTTTGTTTCTTGAAGTTAGTAATAAGATCCCAATAAGAGTTCAGGATCTAAACCGACAGATAAACTGCTGATGCTGATGTCTAGAAAGCCTGAAGCAGTCTTTAGTTTCCACTGATCAACAGCAGCCAGAGTTGTTAGCCTTGCATAAACTTGTTATCAGAAATAATTAGGGTACCAGAAAGAACACTGAATGTGTTGCTACAGAAGGGATCGTTTCTTGAAATTGCTTCTCCTTGAATACTTGTCATCAGAGCACTTGAAGGAAAGCTCTTTGAAGCACATTGTTTGCAGTATGGTCCTCCCTTACTTAAAGTGGCTACCCATGCTGCTTTAGAAGCAGGTGTGGTATTTGACAGACAAACACATTTGAAATGCAACAAAAGTAACCGATGTTTTAACATTAACTACTCTACCAAATTTTCCAGTACTGGGTAAAAAAAATTGCTTAATGTACCTTCAAATGAAAGAAAGTATTTGTCTGGAAGGAAAACTGATAATTTCACTCTTGAAGCAAGCTTCTTCCCCATTAGAGCTGGATCTCCAGAGGCCCGGTTGTGCAATTTGCAAAGCCATTAGGAAACAAAGGGCTACCAAGATAAGAGCTGGCTGCCATTTCAGGTCTTCAGGGATTCCACCTAACAGGAGAAATAGTGACTTGAGAGCTGTATCCTTTCCTCAGATCTCTGTCCTGTCACAGAGGCAGGTAATGATAGCTGTCTCTTCCTTTTTGAGAACAGCATCAGTGGAGCTCTTTAGTCTGAATTGCTAGAGAAAAACTATTCTTACTCAGGGAGGCAAACGACAGCAACTTGTCTAAGTTGTTGCAGCTCCACTGGCTTTGCTGTGCTATGTCAAATCTATACCCATTGATGGTACAGCCTCATTTTGCTAGCAGGAAGAACAGGAATCAAATGCAGAGGTAGATGTCACTAAATTAGGCTCTTTCTAGTATTTCAAGTGTTCAGATTAGGTTTTTCTTGGAAATCATTGGTTCCTATGCTACTGAGTTGCCAGTACACAGAACTTTTCCGTATTGTTCCTGCTGGATGTCTGGGTTTTAATTTCTGTGGTCTGCAAAATGTTTATAAGAAGAGAAAAAACGTCAGTTCTTCTGTTGTCTTTTTTTCCATCATAGGCATTTTAAAGGAAAGATGATTTCTGACTCTACACATCTGAGAGTTCTCAGAGGTGGGGGATATTAGTATTGAGATGACAATTTCTACAGTATTTCAAACTGGATGAACTGATTTATTTTAGACTATTTTCACTTGTCTTTAACAACTTGTAGTAAACAAGGACGGGAAGCTTGGGAAAATTTTGTCAGTTTACACAGATGTTCTGTATATTCTCAAGAAGCACTTCAGGAGTCTGATCAAATTAGTTTATTTTTTCTCTTTGAATTACTAGAAGCTATTTGGATTACATGTTCTTATAGGGACAAATTATCCTTTCAGCTATTTTATGCACTGAGCTATAAATAACAATAAACATAAAGCAGTGCCTCCACCTCAGGTTTACCAGGACCTTTTGTTCAGAATGTTCTCCTTATAAAAACCTTTACATTGTTCACTTCACGTTCTTTTTCTTTGTGTAAACATTGAAGGTATTAATGTTAAGATGATGGGTTTGTTTTGGAAGGCACTAGATTTGGCAGCCCTTGCAACTGAGCATGCACAATTCAAGGACTGGTGGTGGAAAGTCCAAATTGGGAAGTGCTACTATAGGTAAGCCATTGTTTATTTCTTCTGTGATCTGTGAGTATGAGTGCAGGACACTACTGGGTGTATTGTGCAGTGCTGAACACAGAAATAGTTCAGTAAGTATTAATTTGAAGAGTGCTGTGCTTACTATTAAATCTCCTTCAATATACAAAGAAATTACATTCAACTGCTTGAGGTAAAGGCATCGATATCGAGTACCTTAAAGTAACTAAATTAGTTGCATCTTCACCTTTGTTAATGTGTTTCAAAGTCACTGTTTGAAAAGTTGGTAAATAAATGCAAAGATCTTTGGTTAAAACAGACCACATGAAATTAGTATTGCAGTACTAGCTTGAGAAAGTAACTGTCAGTGAGGGGCTCAGATTGATTAAATAATAAAAAATGAAATATTCATGTTTGACAGTTTCTGCTAGGGCTCCTCTGTCCAAGAAGTACTAGTTCCAAAGATGCCAAAGCTGGAACCCCATACCCAAACATCTGATAGCAGTGTTAGGAGTGCCTGGGCATTGTGGAGCTCTGCGGCTTTATGAGGAAAGAGTAGCAACAGCAGGGAAGAGAGCTTGTTGCAAGCAGTTTAGCATGGTTGCTGAGGATCTAGCTATGGTTGTTAATGGCCGTTTCTATGAAATCAAGTGAGGCTCTTCCTGATACAATCCTGCTTCCCATAATTCAAACAGTACTGAGGCAGCTCCCCTTTCATCCTTTACAATGTGTTTGTCCCATGAATGCAAAACATATGAGTACTGTGTTGTTTGTGTAAAAACTGAAGCATCATCTGCAGTCTTTGCAGTTTTGTAAGCAATTCTTACATGAACAGGCTGATAATACAAAGCATTTAGCCCTTTAAAATTCCATGTCATATCTTGGCTTGAAAATATAGCTTCTTTTTAGATGCCCAAACTAATTAAATTCTTCACTATACTAACCTTTATTTGACATTGTTTAGAGGATTAGACTGATTTTATTTTATTTTTTGAGCTTAGAGGTCATTAATCTCTTTCAGGATTTTTATGGATAGTGTTATAGAGACTAAAGAATCCAAGCAGGCACATGCACTTCTGTGGTCCAAAACTACCCTGTGTCCCCATTGACTAAGTTGCTTTGTTTTGACTGTGTCTTGAGTTCCTTCACCAAGTGTATGTGCTCTTTGGCTGAAGGAAAGAAAAAGTAATTTGCACATGAGAAAGTGCACATTCATGCTGTTGTTGAAATGGTACAATCCTCTTTATTTTGTAGTCTACATAGTATTTATAGATTATTGCAAAATATTCTGCAGTTATACTGTAAAACAGATGCTTTTGAGATTAAACAGACTTCTCTGAGGTTCATGTGCCATTTACTTTCCCCTCCCAAGTGACCTGCTTGAATGGTTTGAGGCTGTGGTGCCCTTTAAAATACCACATATTTTCAACACACAGTTAAAGATTTTTAGTATCAGCTACAGAAGTTTCACCATTTCCCATATGAGTCTGGGAAAAAGTGTTTTATAGAACATTTAGCATTCCCTAAAGTTTACAGTGATAAGTATCTACATGATCTTTTCAATGAGGGAGGAAATTCTGCTTCAATACTATTTGGGTAGAGGTTGAGGCATGATTTTAATGGCTCATTTTTACTGTTCGTTCTTTACAAAGAGCAGGAAGGGGTCCTAGGAAAATGAGTCCTTGCTCAGTTAGCACCAGAAGGTTGCATGTACAAAAGGGAGCCAAATTTCATGAATTTGCCTTTTTCATAGTTTTGAATGGTTGTCTTTGTAACCTTAATATATATAAACAGCATGTTTCTTGTTAACATGCACACAAATATATAACCGTAAAGTACACTTTTGAGCAGTTCATGTTTGGTTTAATGCTCACTGTTTCATTATTTAAAGCTTTTTAAAAAAAAAAAACAAAAACCAAAACACAAATAAACAGACAAATACCTTCTGTATCTATTTGTTGTTTCTTTAGGTTAGGATTATATCGTGAAGCTGAAAAACAATATAAGTCAGCTCTCAAGCAACAGGACATGGTTGATACTATCTTGTACTTGGCAAAAGTAAGTAATAGATTTGCTTGTTTAATAATGAAGTGGAATTCCAGACTCTCTCTGAGAAGTTCATACACCAGAATAGCCAAATATTAAGCTTGATAGACCATTAAGTTTAATCGCATGTGATGTCCATATAGTCCTGAGGGCAATACATGCTAACAGTTAAAATTGAAGTCTACAGTTCACAAAAATATTTTGGAGCTTCACACAGACACACACACACACAACTCTCCTATTTTACTGTATTCTTTGCTCTAAACTTGAATGAGGATTATATAGCTAAAGAATAATTTGAGTTCCAGTATGAAGAACATTGTAGCTATATATAGTGTCCTAGGAAACTGATGCAATAAGTCAGTTAGTGAAGGGTGAATCTCACAATCCTAGTTTCAGAAGCAAAATTAAAACACAGTGAGCTTGAAGGAAGCAATCTCAAAACAGAGAACATTCTGTCAAAATAAGTATATTAAAAGCTTTAAAAGAGCAAGTGTTGTAGCTAATCCTCAGAATTACTTGTTTACCAGGATACACATCATAGAATCATATAGTGGTTTGGGTTGGAAGGGACCTCAAAGACGATCCAATTCCAACCCCCCTGCTATGGGCAGGGACACCTCCCGCTAGATCTGATTGCTCAGAGCCCCATCCAGTCTGGCCTTGAACACTTCCAGGGAGGAGGCATCCACAACTTTTCTGGGCAACCTGTTCTAGGGTCTCGCTACCCTCATAGTGAAGAATTTCTTCCTAAGGTCCAACCCAAATCTACCCTCTTCCAATTTAAAATCATACAACTACACACCCCTATAAAAAGCCCCTCACCACCTTTCCTGACCTCTTCAAGTACCAGAAGGCTGTGCTAGGGTCTCCCCAGAGCCTTCTCTTCTCCAGGCTGAACAACCCCAACTCTCTCAGCCTGTCTTCATAGGAAGGATGCTCCAGCCCTCTGATCATCTTTGTGGCCCTCCTGTGGACACACTTCAACAGGTCTGTGTCCTCTGTATGTTGAGGGCCCCAGGACTAGACACAGTACTCAGATGGGGTATCACAAGAGCAGAGGAGAGGGGCAGAATCACCTCCCTTGACTTGCCACAGTAAACATTTTCCAAGACATTTAAGAAAAGGTGGTCTGTGGGAAACTAAGCATGCATTTTATTCCTTCTCCTAGAAAGAGATTAAATCAGTTGCTTTTTATCAGCTCCCTTTAAGCCAGCTATCACAGACCTATCCAAAAGTCATCACTAGTAGTGGATAATTCAGATACTCCTATTAGGATACTTGCTTTACCTTTATATTTCTTGAGCAATTTGCATTTTGTATTTAAATTATCAACATTGCTGTCTGGAGACTTGTCTTCAATACAACAGTTGGAGTTAGTTTACTCAATTGAGCTTAATAATTTTAATTTCTGTCACTACCAGGAGTCATTCTGCAAAACACATGAGCTACACAGAGTCATTAAATTGGCAGAATAGTTGGATTAACAAACAGTGATTCGTTATGGGAGATATGCATCCCCCCACATCATTAGTAGCTCAAGTAGGAACTTCCACCTCCCACTCCATAGACCAGCTTGCTGAAGTATAAAGCATTACACAACATGATTTAGTGACTGTGGGTGGAGCAGGGCACTGAGATATAGCTCAATCTGACAATATTGAGAAAATAAGAGATTTTTTAAGCAGCCATTAAAAATAATAGGATTGCATCGAGTTCTGTGCAAAGAGACTGATACTGCAGTACCAGTTAGTTTTCTGTTTATATTCATTGTCACAACAGCTGTTTCTTTTAAATACATTTTCCTAAAATCTAAGTCTCCTTTGAAGTATAATCTATGAAAAGATGAAAGAGTCTTTATGAAGTCAGGTCCGCTAAAAAGTTATAAAGTATTTAATAACCCGGAAGAGCTGGAAATTGAATATTTTTACTAGATACAAGAGAGATAACAAAAAGAAAATGGAGCTGTTCTGCACATAGCATCTAAAACTTAATGGATATAGCTGTAATACTCTTCAAGAGCACCTCTCCCCAAAGCAGGTGCTAGTAGGTGGAAGTTGTCCCACCTATCTTTTAATTTATTTTTCTACTTATCTCGCCCTGCTTTACAGTCTTGCAGAGACGTTGGACAGTGTGATACACTGCTGGGTATGGGAATTATTACATAATAGAGTACTGTGGCTGTGTTGCCTTAGCATAGTATTTGCACAGAGGATCTGTAGCAAGTAGCTTACTGCACACAGTTAGAATAAATTGTACAAGTCACTTATATAGGTAATGCTTAGGAGTAAAAAAAAACAGCCAAGGGTCTTAATTAAGAAGTTATACCCAGTCATCATGTATTCTCTTTCATGTGTACTTTCTACTTAAACTCTTTACAGAGTAATTTAGTTATAGAAAACTGTTGCTAGAAGAAAATAAAGAATATGACAGTCACAACAGAAGCAGGTTTCAAATTTAATGCAAACGTAAAATTAATCAGAAACTGCTGCATGGTTTATGAAAGAAAAGCTGTATCAAATGTCTCGAGGTCTGATTTAGGCACAGCAATATGCCCATCTAGAAGGCATTAGAAATATATTGTTGATTTAAAGCATATTGTCATTACTGCAGTCCTAGTCTACCAAGTACCATGACCACCAGAAAACCCAAACCCCTCATTCTTTAATTGATTTGCACAATAATTTATTTTCTAGCTTAATGCAGAAAATGCTAGTGACATTAGCAAAATTAATGGACAAAAATGCCTGTATTTTTTATTTTTTCAGTAAACAACTTGAAATGGCAGTCTGTTTACTAGGAAGGCACTCACATTTGATAGCTCCTTGACAATTAAGTATGTTACTTGGGTGGTCATAGGAAAGAATTCTTTCAAATGTCTACAGTAGTACATATCTATAGGGATGCAAATAAAGAACTTAGTGACTTTAACTAGTATGTCAGTTGCTGACACTCAAAAATCCATGAAGCACAACGGCAGAAGCAGAAAACATGTTTGGAGGTTTTTTAGGTGTTCAGTTTACACTGACATTTTTCTTACATTGCATCACAAAATGTTTGTGTGAGGATATCAGACATGGATTCTTTCCCTTTTTCAGCTGTATCAAGTATTAGCACTACTTAATCTAATGATTCACCAACAGGAGCACTCAAAGCACTTTTCCACAGAGTGGGAGACAGATTAATCCCTCTAGCCATCTAGTTTCCAAATGTGGGCCTGTGGAGTTTTTTTCCTTTGCTGTAGCTTTGCAATTGTACTCTCAGACAGCTGCAGAGGTGGTTTCTGTCAATACATCAGTGTCCTCTGTCCAGTTCTCACACAACAGGATCCACATTGCACACAGTCATAGTCACTAAAGCCAGAATCACAGAGACCAAACTGCCTTCTTTCTGTTACAGGATTTTATTCTTTGTGACAGGGGAGGTTGGCAGAGCAGTAAGGAAATTTGAAAGTGTCACAGCTCTGCACAGTGAAGTCTTATTTGACTAAGTAAAATATTTTGGTATTCCAAATCAACTTGAATATCCGGTTTTTTTAATCTTAAGCAGAAGTTTTGAAAAAGACATTAAATGGGAAAATATTTAATGTTATACCTTCACTTCTGTGTCAAAGTATATTATTTTGATATGTTAATCAATAAAAAGATATTTTTTTGTTTATTAGTAATGTCCAGATGAATTAATAGTGTCTAGAGGACATGCATGCAAAATTAATTATCTTAATTAGCCCACTTTATCTTCATTAGAGGGATTTATTCAGTATTCACTCAATTATTTTAGCAGTATTATCCTCCATCTCAGCTAATGGGTTACTGCATAAAAGGAGGTGTCATCCCTTCTTATTTATCTTCCTTGATAAACAGCAGTACTAGTATAAAAGTCAGACATTTGACATTCATATACATTTTTTATTTACTTAGGTGTATTTGCGCTTGGATCAGCCTCTAACAGCTTTGAACCTTTTCAAGCAAGGGTTAGATCGATTTCCTGGAGAAGTGACTCTGATTTGTGGAATTGCCAGAATCTACGAGGTATGCACCCACTGTGCTGTCCTGGTTGTAGCCAAGGTTGGCTCCCCGAGCAACAAAAACATAGTCAGTAGTTGAATATAACTGAAATTAACTATGCTGATTTTCAGTATCACTACTGCAAAGCCGGTGACATTGCAAGTCCATGTTAAACCAAGCGGTCCAGATGTTGTCCAAGTAGCTAGGTCTAGTTTATATATGTTTTATCGTACAGAAACTTCAGGTCACCAACGGCCTGCTGGCAGGATTAAAGAACAAAGCAGACTGCCCATCAGTATGGTCTTTATTAGTGCTATGTGTTACTCTTGGTCTCTTCAGCCCATGAGAACAGCTGGAATGTGAATGTTTCTTAATTTAGGAAGTAGATGTTATTTTAAGTAGCATTAGTTTTTAAAATAGTTTCTTTATAGGTTGGTAACCATGTGTTTTATATTTGAGGAGTGTGTATTTTCATGTCAAACAGTGGACCTAATACTGTTTTTCACTGAAAGTTGGTAATGAATTCCAGAACAAATGTTTTAAACAAAGTAATGAGTTATTTTTTTTGTCTACATTCATACTTGGCATTCTTTCCTGTTCTCATCATTCTCATCTAACCCCTAAGCATTAATCCATTTTCATATTAAATCCTTTTTGACCTTCAGCAAGGAAGAAAACAGTTGCATAATTTTTGAGGCTTTTCTTTCTGCATTGTTAAACAGTTTTTAATATGGATATTATTTTGCAGAGCCATACATAAGATTGCATAACCCTCTAAAGGAATTATTAAAGAGCAACATATAGTTGACAAGATCTGGTTTTGCAATAACACCTGACTGCAGGATCATACCTTCATTAGCAAAGATTTGTATTGCAGCACAGGGCTGTTTTCATGACATAGATTCACAAGTACAATATATGCATCAGGCATCTTAATCAAGGCTTTTCTTCTGTGTCACTACCTTTTGCCAGTAGCAAGAATTATAGACCTTTCTTGATTTAAAAAAAAAGGCTTATTTTTACAGGAACTGTTTAAATATTATTTTATTTAATCATAAGGAATACTTTTTTTCATAGCAAAATATACTGCTGAGGTTAAATAGAAGCTTATTCTTTAGTCGTGTTGAAAGTACAGTGTATCTGTAGCACACAGGAAGAAATGATTCCTATCTAAACACAGAAGTGTCTTTTGAGCTTTTAATTTATTTTCCTCTTATATGTGATAGAGTCCTTTAGTCACTTGCACTTCTCATCTGCAGTGTGATGTTGTTTGCAGCAATGAGTTCACCCTAATTTATCTTCCAAGTAGCACACATCCAAGTGTGTATTTTTATGCAAGAGAGTTCTTTTAACTAGTATGTCCTAGCTATGACAGGTTTCGGTAACAAATGCATGATTCCTGTTTTCAAAGGTGTGTAGTAATTCTTCATATGCAATTATATTATCATTTGTATTCAGACCAATTAATTAACTAATTAATTAATTACTTGATTGACTTACAAAGCATTGAAAATGGTTGAGATATTGGCTGGGGACATAAGTCCACTGTATGTGATCATACTGGGAAACCAACTGCACAGTACTGTGTGTCACAAGGCATTGTGCATAAAGTAGCAAATGCCTGTTGAACATGCTGATCTTCTGGCCAATCTCTTTATCAAAATAATGAAAAACAAATAAATCTCTATTTGTAGTGATGACATAGAGTTAATGACAGGTACAGCTACCACTGATAAATTAATATGCATTCTTCTCATGGATGTGTGTGTCACTTGTGAAGATGCCAGTCAGTGGTGTTGCATTGTATGACCAGAGAACTGTTAAGACCATACATAATTAATCTCAGTTAAGTACTTTACAGGACATAGGTAAAGCAGAGAATTGGTATTTTATTAAGTTTTATTAAAATTGTTGATTAAAAAAAAGTAGAATTAATCTGATTTTTTCCATTTGTGTAGGAAATGAATAACATCTCCTCAGCTGCAGATTACTATAAAGATGTCTTAAAACAAGACAACACTCACGTGGAAGCCATTGCATGCATTGGCAGCAACCACTTCTATTCAGACCAGCCTGAGATAGCTCTGCGGTTTTATAGGTATCTACGCTTGTGGGGAGGGAGGGGAAACTGAAGACGTGGGAGGGCAATACAAAGGGTTGATTTTTGTAATGCTGATGGCAAAAAAAGAAGATTAAGGGATTAGTATGGGAGGGTGATTGAGCATTTGAACAAATACCATAAAATCAGCATACCAAGTATATACCTTCTCAGCTAGTGATAATTACGTTCTCTCTTAAAAACTTAGCATTACATGCAGAGAACGTAGAAGTATCAACAAAGATTATCAAATCAGTTATTATTAATAAAATAGAACTAATCTTTCACAGCATGAGGCAACTTGGGATCACTGCACCTTACTCTCAACTTCAGTCGCATTCAGAAGGCACATGGGCTTCCTATTTAGCCCTTTAAAAAAAAGTCATCTTTGAAAAACTCCACCTGAAGTCATGAGCAGTTGTGACCACAAAGTCCCTTCCTTGAACGAGGGCTGGGGTTTCCCCATGTTTTACCATAGAAAGATAGTGTTAAATGATGCTGCTGGCTTTTTATTTCAGTACAGTCAGAGTGCAACCCTGACTCATGTTTGTAAGTCTTAAGAGCAGAGTAAGTCAATATAAGCACCATCGTCTCAGTTCTGTTGGACCTGATGTCTTTTATGCTTTAGGTTCAGAAACTCTCAGTCATGCTGCAGACAGCAACCCTGTTTTTCCCTGGCCGTCTTAGCATATCAGTTTTTTCTGTAAATAAAAATAAACATAACTTTTATTAAAAGTCTCAGTTCTAAAAGACACATTAAACAACATCAGTTTTAATCAAAATCTGAGTTATGCTTCAAATGTAAGGTTAATGTAGATTCACATACTAGATGTAGTGATTAGAGCACTGCTGAAGGACAGGAAACAAGGGAAAAATTGAAATATTTTCTTTCTATCTAGACGGCTCCTGCAGATGGGTGTTTATAACTGCCAGCTTTTTAACAATCTAGGCCTCTGTTGCTTCTATGCCCAGCAATATGATATGACACTATCTTCATTTGAACGTGCACTGTTTTTGGCTGAAAATGAAGAGGAGACAGCAGATGTGTGGTACAACCTGGGACACGTAGCTGTGGTATGAAAAATATTAACATCCTTTCTGAAGGAATAATATTTACAAAAACTGGAAAAATAATTAGTAAGGAGTCATTGCCCTACTTTGAAATATGAAGTCCAGTAGTGTACAGGATAAAGTACAGTACAGGTTAAAGGTTTATTTACACTTCAGTTGAGAGGAAGAGGCAAAAAAAGTTTTGTACATCTTCACAAAATGTGGCTTACTCCTGCTAAAAGATACTCACCCCCATCATCTTTAACCAGAATAAGGTTACTGAATAAACTTTTTGACAGCTTTCTAATATGAGTTGTCTTCAAATTCTGATTTTGACAACTTCAGTCAGAGAGAAACTCAACTGTTCACCTTGATAGTACTGCAACTAGAATAAACACATTACTTCATACTAAAATATTGAAATTTGAACTGTTGTGCCTGTATTTTCCAGTATTTGTCACTTTTCATATTTAACCTGATGCTGTCTCAGTGCTGGTCATAAAACTGGAGCATTAAAGAATAGTCAGTAGCTCCATACAAGTAAATTTGCTTCACTTATTTTGTGTCTTCTAAAAACTAGGGTTACATGTGATTTTTTTTTTTTTTTTTCAATCTGTGTGGAGCAGTGAGGCAAGATGACTTCCTCTCTGGAGACATCTCTTGTTTTTCTTACCCTACTATAGATGGTAGCAGATAGTATAGTCTTTAGATGACACTTTAGTCATCTAAAAGTTAAATTATATGAAGGAAATAACACTTGGAGCATGAAAGTTTGTGCTGGAGAGAAGCAATTCTGTCTGGAGAAAGAATAAGAAGCATATGACAGGGTCTGACAAGAAAGCACATACAGTTCTGATCAGAGTGGGTTTTTGGTAATTTGTATTTCATGGTAGTACATATACATGAAAAGTACTTCAGACAACAAAGCAGATGCATGTTGTTTCCAAGCTTTTCACAAATTAAAAAACAATCTTGCTTTTAGGGGATAGGAGACCTGAATCTGGCTTACCAGTGTTTCAAGCTAACATTAGTCAACAATAACAACTATGCAGAAGCTTATAACAACTTGGCTGTGCTGGAAATGCGAAAAGGTCGCGTTGAACAGGTTGGTGTTGAATCTCAGCTTAAGCAGAAAGCTTCCTTTGGCTCTTTTGTACTTAAGAAAAATGTCATTTCCCTGAGGTGGAGACATCATATGAACATCTAGTTTACAATTCTAGGCACAAAGCCTGGATACCTTTTATGTATGTTTCAGTGTAACCTCTCTTTTGTCCTGCCATCTCCCATTAAACTGCTCATTCTCTAGGCATATCCAAATGGCTCATCAAAGACAAACAAGGTTTACAGTGGTTTTGCAGCTGTTGACATCTTTTTTCTAAATTGATACCCAAAACAAAACCCGTTACTCTGTAATAATCACTTAAATTATGACTTTGACTATACATTCAGTTAATAAATGTAGCTAATATACTTCAGTTGGTTGGCAGAAGGCAGCAATCAGACCAGATTTTTTCAACAAGGAGATTGCTTTTTTTGTGTCCCAGAGCAGCAGGTTCTTGATAAATACTTCTGCATCAGTAAGCTTGATGGTTCATCTTACCTAATGCAAGTATACTAAGCTGTGTTGCACTTAGATGTATAATTGACATGCACAGTGGATTAAATGCATTAATTTTTATACACATGCAGGAAAAATTAATATGTGTTTGTTGGTCACTTTGTACTTTGGGTTTAGTTTCAGTTTCATAGTTAGTAAATTTACAGACATTTAATTCCCAGGTGGAACTTATATCCAGTTGTGGAGGTTGTGATTGCTAATAATAAACAGTGCAGAGCCTTTCCATTATAATCCCTTGTTTCTTATCTATTTTAGTTTTTAGATTACAAATTTCTCATTTCTTCTTGTATCACATGTAAAATTAAAAATAAGGATCATAATGGAAATAAAATTATGCACAGAAGAATAAAAAATACAAACATATTTTGCATATCTTGGATTTTATTTTACAATGTTCTTTCATAGGTATTTTTGCATGCAACTCAGAGTTGTCAGATTTAGGGAGTTTTAATAAGTTCTCAACTCTGCCTTCCCAAACAGTTTACAGATGCTTTTGTTTTTAAAACGTAAGGGTTTTTCCCCCAAAGTTCTCCATTTTTTAGTAAAAGTATTCACAAGTTTACCTTAATTTTTTATTGGATTCAGTGCATTAAAATGCACTTGATTTTTCATTATTTGTAATGCTACTATTTTGCTAGTGAGAAAAAAAGGGTTAATTTTATTAACATTTTGAGTGTGAAAACTGTCCTTTTTGTTATGAAATTTACATTTTCAAGTATGCTTAAGACGATGTTGTCAGAGACAACTGATAAATACAGTGAGGTGGGACTTCAAATACTTTTTACAGAAATTGATATATTCTGTTCAGTATTTAGAATTGACTTGCTTAACTGAATAAATCCCAACATGTTTTTTTGACTTAACCACAAATCTTACTAATTTCAATTAAGCTGTATTTGCCTAAATGTACACAGTTGAAGGTGGCTTTCTTATTAAAGGTCTAGTAAAGAAACTCAGGATTATTTATTTTCAGATCCTTGTTACCGTCCCTCACAGATTTCACTTTTTTTTTTTTTCTCCATAGGCAAGAGTTTTGCTGCAGACTGCTTCATCTTTAGCTCCTCATTTGTATGAACCCCATTACAATTTTGCAATACTCTCAGAGAAGGTAATTCCTGTAATCTAAAAGTTGAGCCTTCGTGGGCAGTCGGGTTTTCATTGTTATTACTGAGTATTCCAAATAGGTAAGACAAAAGAATACAGAGTGCATAAGCTCAAGGAAAACTAGTTACATTTTCATTTTAATACCCAGAAGCCTTATGTGTAAAAGTAGTCATTCAAGTGTTTGCTTTTGAGAGTGAGGCCAACAAGCTATAAAGTAACTTTGTAATTTTCCAAATGCACAGAAGATTAATAACCTATTAACAGTTCCATCTACATGCTTTACAGTCATTGGTTATTTCAGAATGTGAAGTGAAATAGTATCTTATGATTTATCAGTAATTGTAGAAAGAATATAATTTATTGATCCCATAATCTTACTGATCTCAAAAGAGAAGTCTGTTCTTCAGCTTTACAACCTTTGAATTTTGTGTGTGAATAATTTATTTCATACAGCATGTCTCAGACACTGATATAACACCGTCCAACATTCTTTTTAGTAAGGAGAAACTTGTACAATCCTTACATTTTTCACAAGAAAAAATTGCTCCTTTGGTTGTGCCTACACCTTCAGGGCTCCTTGCTTACAGCCCAGGAGCTATCACTTTCACTAGATGTGTTCCCAAATATTTAGGTTCTTTTTAACAGAGTCCACTTTCTGAGATGTTCCCCTTATGTACCCTTCTTCTCCCAGAAAATACAGCTATTTTGGGAAAAAAAAAAAGTTCCCTAAGTAGGGAACAGTGTGGAAACATACTTACAAAAGCAGCAGAGGGGCAACATCACCCTACAATACTGTTGTGCCTCTCCGTGAGGAAAGAAGAAATCACATGGAGCTGTGGCTTTTACAGAGACCTAATTGGTTGTGTGTTGCCTGTATATACAATAGCACTTCTGTGGAGTTTAAAAACTAATCTTCCACTTTTTATGCCTCCTACCTTCAAGCACTGGACATGGTGCAACTTGTTCTCTAATCTCCAAGAAATCAGGTGAAATGAGATACACAGTTACTGTCTTGAAACATCCCTCCCATTAGAATCACCTTTTTCTTTTTTTTCCCTTGTCCTTTTAGGTAAGGGAGACATAATCCTGAGTTCAGAAGCCTCCATACTGACTCTGTTTTATTTGTTCACTCTCAGAGCCACCTATGTTTAAACATTTGTGAGCATCAGAAATGCACTGCATGGAATATATGATGCAAATACTACAGTATTTAGATTTACAAAATTAATTTTTGTGTTTCTTATAGGTTGGAGATCTTCAGAGGAGTTTCACAGCAGCTCAGAAGTCAGAAGAAGCATTTCCAGGCCATGTTGATACCAAACAGCTCATTAAACAGTTAAAACAGCACTTTACTATGCTCTAATGAGCATATTTTAGATTATGTAAGAATAGTTAGCCAGAGCAAATGTCACACACATCTTTTTGAAATATTAGCTCAAGGTAGATAAACTACAGATAAACTAATACATACCTGTGGCAAAGCCTGTGTTACTTTGAGTAGCAGGAAAGGGTTGAGAGTCCTAATTAGGTTCTGTCATCTTAAAACATACCATGTATTGAGATGCAGCTAGAGCACATGTTGCATCTATGTACAGGAGAGATTACAGGAGCAGCAGGATACTGCTGGCATGACAACTTTGAAAGTTGTCTGATATGAGCAAGTAAGTCTCCAAGTAATATTAATTATCACTTTAAAGCATTTTTTCTGACTTTACTGCAGAAAAAAATATTTCTGTGTGACAATCTGTCAAGTAACACAGAGTAAGAATACTTCCTAACTGGTCTTCAGACTTGGCTTTTGATAATGTACATTCTTACTGAATGTTAAGTTTTAAAGCTGAAATACCTACAAAGAATTTAAATACATGTATAAAGCTGAAGTTCTTGTGTTCCTTCTTGTACTGTATGAATTAAATAAATTCCAGTTGGTATGGTTTGTCTTGTTTGTCTTGTAAGTTAAGATTACATACTTATTGCCATGAAAATCAGAGGTAGATATTGAAGCATATTTTTAAAGACTGCACAGAATTGGTACAAAGTAGCTTAAATATGTGTGTTCCTCTTTACCCAGGAGTTTATTCTACACAAAGCTTATTCTTGATCTCAGTGAAGGAAAAAGGTATTTAGAAGTTTACAAAGTTATATGTTGGTAATTGATAACAAGACATTGATTGGATGGTTACCTGTGCTACCACAGAAGCACTGTTGCTAGATAAATATTTGAGTCATCCTAACTACAGGAATACTACTAATAGCAATAAAGACTTTCTGTCATATGTCTTTGTGTTCTAACTAAAAGGAATACATTTGCATTATTTCCAATTTGACCTTTTTAAAAAACGTTTAAGAAATGTGGGATGTTAAGGCATTCTGAAATGGCACATTCTGAAACAGGCCTTTGAAATCTTGCTATGTTTCTCTGATGTATTAAGGGATTATCTTGGATTAGGGAGTAACCCTAATCATGCTTATGAATATTATGTCTTCTTTTTCACTATTCTGTACTTCCCCACCCTCACCTTTGTATGGCTGTTGTAGCTGATGGAAGCAGATACTGGAGAGCCTAGAGAAGTGTACCCATGGACTCTCCCACAGAGCAGTCTGTAGGTGATAGTTAGAAACACCACCATTAATTGGTGTCACATCATGTTGCAAAGTGCAAAAGCATTATTGGCAGAATAGATGCAGCATCTTTAATGGAGATTTTCTTTTTTCCACATTGATCTTTATACTGTCCGAATTTTATCTCAGACTAACCAAGCAAGAAGCTTAGTTATCAATAATTTTCATTACCTAAATAAGGTTTTAATTTCTGCTAAAAATGAAACATTAATAGGGAAGTTCCATCCTTTGATCTACTGTACTTAACATCTTTCCAGCTGACAATGCTAAACTAAGGAAGCTGCCAGAAAAGAAAATTTTTGCCTTGGCAGTTTAAACACAACTGTGGAGAATTTTTGAGCATCATATTATTAACTCAAAGTATTTTCAAAATTGCATAGTAAATAAGATTATTTCTACATGACTTAGAACAGAAACTAGTAATAAAACCTCCGTTTTGCATCCAGTGTGGCAACTCTATAGTTCCTCATACATATGTGATCACTGCTCAAGTTAATGATCTGAATAACTCTTCTTTTTAGCAAACTGTACTTCTTAGAACATAGATCTGACATGATTATTCTTTTAGCTTTGGGCATGTGTGGAGATTGAAAGAGAAAAAGTCATGTATGGTAAGGAAACCTTTACAAAAGATGCTTGTGCAGATTAATTATAAAAAGCCCCTGCCCCACCAACACGCAAAGTTCTAAATAAGGATTAAAACCTGTTTAGCTCCTGAATGTGCAGCATCTGCAAGCTATTCCGAATTTATCTTGGAGTATTTTGATTGCCCCAAAAAGCAGCAGTTTGCTTTGTTGACCTTTCATGCCCCCAAGCAAGGGTACTACAGCATTTTTTTTTCACAATTAACACACGTACAAATTAAATTAAATGTGGTAATGACAACAGCACCACAGTGAAACAACAGATGAACAAGCAGGCTGTTTGTCATGGAAGAATCTTCAGATTTAGTTGTATGTTAATTCAGTGTGAGTTCCAGTGAACAGATGAGTCTGCAGACCCTGGGGCAAACTGCCTGTAGTTAACTGAGGACGACATAGCACAACACGGTGCATCAGAATCTGTACTCATCTGTGTGGTGTGACCTTCACGTTGTAAGCAGCATTTCTGTAAAATAGAAATCTCTTTTCCCCTCTAACCTGTAGCACAGCTCCAGCTATGTCCAGCCACCATTTTCAGGCCTCTTGACAATAAAGAATTAGAAAATAAAATACAATTAAAAAACAAGAATTTTTTTTTTCAACTACAGAAGAGATAGTGTCCACAACGGTGCTGCCTGCAAGGAAGCTCAAAGCAGATTTCTCTGAGGTCTTGAAGTTTGTGTCTCTGCAGGAAATGTCTGTACAGTTTATGGCTTTTACCACCAAACCCAGTCAGTCTTTTGACCGACCCTCTTGCTAAGTGTTTCTGATGGAGGGATCCTTTTAAAAGTTGGTAATGCTTAGGTTATTACCAGATTCTGATTCCTTCGCAAGATGTTAGAGCCAAAGCACCAGCCAAAGAACTGCAGCTGGAGTTAATCAGAATTCACAGTTATGGGCTGTGGATTGTTTTGGCTGCAAAAAGCACCCTCAGAGGTCGCTGGGAAAGACAGAAGCAATTTGCCATTAGATATCAGTTCAGTCACTGTAAGACTTCAGAGAATGATCCCATTTTGATGTTGCTGCTGGTGGTGGGGTTGTTTTTCTTTGTTTGCTTTCTGACTTTGTAGGCTAGAGGGAAAGATTTTTGGGTCATTTAGTCTGATCTCTGGTATGACATAGGCCAAAATTTTTAAGCCAGGAACTCTTTCTAATGAACCCAGACTGTGTTTAGCTAGTGATTCCATGTCAGAGCAGCAGCAAGTTTTGGTATAAAAAAGCTACAGCATCTTCTGTGAAGATTTTGTATTTAGTCATTCTCACTACCATATGGTTGTCTTCTTTCTGATGGATGATTTTAAGCTCATTTTGTGTCTCCTCACTTCACCTGCTTCCTAACCACTGAGTACTCATTATACCCCGGCATCTGAACCATAGTTAGGATCTGCCACAGCTGAGCAGGACCATGGCCACTTTGCCTCCTTTAGGCAATGCCTCCTTTGCCTCTGTCACCAGAGCCATCACTGACATCTGTCATGGTTATTTTTAACCAAATAAACTGTTTCCCAAACATAGGCAGCATGAAAAAGAGAGCTTAGAAGAACCCTTTGTACCAACCCACTTGGCTAAACTAGGACATACTGGTTTAGTCTGAACAGCAAGAAGTGGTTGCTGTGAAAACACACTGGCAAGTATCAGCTATGCCCCTTCAGCAAGGACAGAACTGGACAGTCTGAAATGCAGGTCAAAAATCAGTTCAAGAGAAGTGCAGGTGAAAAGTGGCTTCCCACCGGGAAAATAAATAAGCTGACTAAAAGGCTTTGTGAGATCCCACCCAGTTCCTCACATACTCCAGAGGAAGTCTCAGAACTGCCATTTTATCATGTTCCTAGATGAGAAATATTTCATATTGCACACAGCAGTAGTGATGCACAAAGGTAATGTGGAATCAGGCTTGAAGAAAGAGTGAACTTTCAGCAGAGGGCCAGGACAAGAGACAGCTCATGTGATTTTCTCTGATTGTTGGAATTTATTTAAAGTCTTGGGCTGTTGCAGGCTCCCTGTTCCCAGCAGATGCCTGCATGCACACTTAGTAATTTTGCACCACTAAGCTCCACAGACCATGGAGTGGTGTGCTACTGATATTCCAGCCCTCACTGAAAACAAGCAAGCCACTGACAGATGTAGAATGCAAAATGGTCCTTTATCTACACATGAAAACAAAACTAAATTTCTTTTTGTGCCTTAGAAGATGAATGAAGCAAAACCCAAGAAACCCTGATATTCAAGACACAGGCAGTCTCCAGTCACTCTCCAATAGGGTAGTCTCCAAAGTCCTGTGCTGGTAAGATAGTCACATTACTAATTTCCTTATTAATGTTTTCAGAGCTTAGGAGTGTGCAGGAGCTGCAAATGCTCAGAAGCATCTGTAATCGGGTTAAATCTGGTAGATACGTCACTAGAAAAAGTAATTTTTATTGCAAAACTGTCAAGTAAACATACCCTGAACTGTGCTGAATAACTGGATGACCAAGTACAAGTACTGTATTTACCATTTCCTTTCTGTTGGTTAGTTAGAGCTATTGCTTGGTGTGCAGACCTTCTAATATTTAGTTTACAAAAGGTTCGTAAAGGTTTAGCTGAAAAGGCTTCCTACTTAGATCCTAGATCTGTATATGTAAAAAAAATAAAAAGATATAAAATTGATGAGTTTATAGTAAAAAAGCTCTTGTCCTAACACATAATGCATTACATTTAATTTGTGTATGTGAGTACATAAAATGTGGGGGCTTTTTTTCCCCATTTCCTATTTACTTTTTGACAGATACTGCCAGTGAAACCAATTACATTGCTCCAAAGATGTCTTGAAGCCAGTAGCAATGAGATGTAAGAAGAAGCAGCAGGGTGCAAACCTTGCTCAGCACTATGGAAAGGGCAAACTCATTAAGAGCCAGGAAAACTTGGTTACAGCAAGTAGACCACCCCACCAAATTAATCTCATTTTCAGCTTATTCAGTCTACATAGCCATAAAGTAATTGCAAAGATGTTACCTTTAGCTTTGATATGATTTTGTACTGCCATCAGTGGCATATTTTGCCAAGTCTGTATCATACAGTAATGCCAGGCACCTTTAAAACTATTACATATGTTAACTAATTAATCTTTACATGCAATAATTTACATCATCCTAACCAAGTGTCATAAAACCTCTGACCAAGAGACACTGGTCTAT